ACATTTAGCTCCCGGGCAGCACAGTTGTGAGTCAAACAGAGACAGCGGTGGATTTGCTGATCCTCGGAAGAAGCAGGGTCCCCACTCTGACCTAAGAAGTGACATGGGCCACAGTTCCACGGACTGAAATGCAGCCCAGCTGTCCCACGGGCCACGACGGACCAGGACCCTGCTCTGTGAGCCACCCTGCAGCGGAGCCACCCCCACATGTCTGCCTTGTTGGGGAGGAGGTGGCTGCAAGGTAAGTGGAGGTGCGGTCACTACCAGCCCCATGGGCTTGGCCTGCCCTGGGCCCGCGAGAGCCCCCCACTGTGGCCACTGTGTATTTAAGGGGCATCCAACAAGGATGGGGGAGGTCAACGTCTCTACTGGACACCAGTTCTCAGTGACAGGTCACCAGGCCTGTCTTCCTAAATGGTCCCATCTGAGAGCCTCCGGAAACCTGCACACAGGGAGACCCTGCTGGGCCTGGACACTCCGCTGGGCCTGGACACCCCGGTACAGGTCCTAACGTCAGAGCAGCCACCTGGCAGGGAGTGTGAGCACAAGCCATGAGCACCCACGCACCCACATGCATAACATGCATAGCACACCACATACAACACACCTAACACACCACATACAATACACAGCACACATAACCCCACAACACACATTCATACCCCAAGAAGCTCAGCCACACTCAGCCACTTGGCCTCGGAGCTGCACCCCATGATGCACTCTGCAGGGCCGTCGCACAGGACAGGAGTGGTGTAGCAGGGTGGGCTCCAGGCTGTGGGTTCAAAGCTGTGCATGGGTTCCAGGGGGAAGAGCCAGCTGGCTGGCCGCGCCTCCGCAGATGGCCACTCCGCAAACCTTTAGTTGTGGGGCCAGCGAGGGGTCCAGTGTGAATGGGAACCAACCACACAGGAGAGAGGTCAGGCTTTCTGCTCCTGTAAAGGGCCCAGTCTGGGGCCCCTGAGGGCCGTGGTGCCCACCCTCCAGGGTCAGGGTCCGCCTGGCCTCCTCCGGCAGCGGTGCCTGCGTTTGGTTTGCTG